ATACAATCAAAATCAGCCAAAACATAAATAGACTCGCTCACCAAATACAACGCAAACCTCCAAATAAATCAATTGAACCTGCAAATAGAATACATTTAATAATCAGTCAAAACACAAATCAATTCACTTACTACGATAGCCATCAAACAAACCAATCAAAACCTGCAAATAAAATACAATCAAAATCAGCCAAAACAGAAATAGACTCGCTTACCAAATACAACGCAAAACTCCAAATAAACCAAATGAACCTGCAAATAGAATACATTTAATAATCAGCCAAAACACAAATTAATTCACTTACTACGATAGCTTCCAAACAAACCAATCAATAACCTGCAAATAAAATACAAACAAAACATAAACCTGAAAATAAAATAATATTAAAATCGGCCAGGAGTTTCATATTCATCCACAGAAAGAGGCATATGCGTCGCCGTTCTCCCTGGAGTTGCATCGACTGGATTCGGCCAGGAAAGGAGGGACGAGGCGATGCCGCGCTTGCGTTGCCGATGCTTTGGAGGTCTCCCTGTCGTCCATGCCTCCGTTTCGCACCGGATGAGGGGTCCAGGAGCGGCGTTGCAGGGTTTTTTATGCCTAAGTCAAAAAAAAAAGAAAAAGAAAACACAAGCCAATCTTAACTTGTTTACATCGATAACTGTATAGTATTTATCTGTATATTTTTTCTGTATATTTTATCAATGTTACCGTAATGTTAAAAAAAAATACCTAAATGTTAAAAAAATTGTAAGTTTCCATAAATAATGTTAAATGTTGCTAATAAGTAATAAGAACACTAATAAAGATTGCGTCAGGTCACACTAAGTGCCCTGAGCAAGTTTGAACATCAAAAGGCCTACGGACACACTAGGAACTACTGTAGAAACGCACCCAAGTGCATGAAGTGCGCCAGTGACCATCTCTCAACTACATGCACCAAACCCAGATACACTCCTGCTAAATGTGTTAACTGCGGCGGAGAGCATGTCAGTTGTTTTAAGGGTTGCCCGGCCTTCAAAGCTGCCAGAAGCAAGCTCAAAATCGACAAAATTGTCAATATGGACAGGAGCATAGGGAAGGCACTAGGGAGGCCGAGTGTATGGGAGGAGATCTCCAGGCACCCCCAACCAAACAGAGGGGGCCCCACTACTGCAGGTGACCATCGAAAGGATGAGGGCGACTATGTCGAAGGGCGGAAAATCCCAGGGAGGGGTTTCACTAACCCTTTCTCAGGCAGAACAGTCCAACCCAAGCCGAGCCTCCACAGCACTGAAATAAAAAAAAGGCTTTCTAAGATGAGAAACCGAGAAAGGAGCAAGCAAACATCCAGCCATAAGAAGGACAGAATAGGGAAGGGACGGGCTCCAAAAACCGGTGACACGAATGTCAACCCAGCCGCCAGCCACCTAGAGAAATTCCAGAGTAGACTGAGGGAGGAGCAGATGGCGCTCTCGCAGTCTGCAAAAGTAATGACAGAGGGCCCCGCTGAACAGGAGAACAAGCGGTTTGAAGACAGGCTCAATGTAATTGAGCTCAGTATTAAGGACATCATGGCGTCAATTAGCCAAATTCACACACTACTGCAAAACCCTCCCCCCAAAAATACTGACAATATAAATAACACTACAAACAATTCTGAACATCACAAAACAACAAATATCCTCAATCAAATAGAAAACAAACAATAAAACAACTCATTGCTATACATTATATCTAACTAAACTAGCCAATAATTTACAGACATGAACACAAACAATAATAACGCAAACCATTTCCCACATTCCAATCACTTTCCGCCACAAACTCTTGACACGACCGGGGCAAACCTGCCCAACTCCAACAGGCTTAAAATAGCTTTCTGGAACGCCTGTGGGATCAAAAATAAAATGGCTGAACTTGAAACATTCATGACAAATGGGGACATACAAATTATGATGGTTATTGAAACTAGAACTAAACAGAGCGCTGACCTACTGAAAATACCAAACTACATCTCATACCACACTGCCAATCCTATAAACCACAAAAAAGGGGGGGTCGTGGTATATGTGAAAGAAAATGTTAGACATGCTGCACTGGAACCCATTAGCACCGATTTCCTTCAATGTACCCCAATTGTAATAATCCCAATAAACAACAAGAGGAGAAACATGATCGTGGTTGCACCGACGTACTGCCCACCTAACTTCAATTGGACTGAGAATCATTTCAGATCACTACTCCTGCATTTTGACAACATATTGGGGGGTACCTCCGGGTTCATTTGCTGCGGAGATTGGAATGCTAAGCATCCATGGTGGGGGAACCCCAGATCCTGTAGGAGAGGACGTGCCCTGATGCAAGCTGTGAGCTCTGGAGCCAGATACAACATCCTGGCCACAGGAGGTGCCACCCACTATCCATACGACAGCAGAAAAAGACCCTCAGCCATCGACTTTGCAGTTTGTGGGGGTATTACAGTAAATAGGATGAAAATCCATTCATGTAGCAGTCTGGACTCCGATCACCTGCCAATAACCATCGAAATGTGTACAAATGGGGCCGACACATTCACCCAAAGTTCTATAGGCAGACGACTAATTACAAAGAAAACAAATATTAACAGAGTAAAAGAGCACTTGGAACAGACCATAAACTTAAACACGGAAATTCACTCGGGACTGGATATTGACGACGCAGTAAAAATACTAACTACAAACATACATGACGCGATAAAACTAGCCACTAAAAATGTAAACTCCAATCAAAGATTAAGATCTGGGAATTCAAACAGCCAACGAAGGATGGACAAAGCACGCTATAAACTAGACGATGAAACTAAAGCGCTTCTGCAAATAAAAAACGAACTGAACCTCAGATTTAAAATATTCCACACAGAAGAGGCTAAAACACTGTACAAGGCCGCCCAGAACACCCTCAGGAAAAAATTACAAAAATTAAAAACAAACAACATTAATCAGCAATTTGAAGGTATAAACACGCAAGACAGATACAAAATGGCAAAGCTCTGGAAAGTAACAAATACAATCAAGAGACAGCCACAACCAAACTGGCCCATTTGCACGCAGACGGGGAACTCTAACCAACGACCCGTATGGACCAAGAGTAACGAAGAGAAAGCCGAAGTATTTGTCTCTCACTTTGAACAACGATTTAAGCCCAGACATACAAGCTCAGAAAAGGAACGCGAGACGACACAAAAAGACCTAGACATTGAGAAACAGAAGCTGACGGATGCAGCAACAAAGACACAAACACGTCCTCTCAGACCATTTACACTCCCAGAACTGACAACCGAAATTAAAAACTTGATCTTGAATAAATCCCCAGGTAAAGACAGAATAGACAATGTGTTAATCAAGGCTCTCCCAAAGAAAGCCCTACTATATATTCTCCTGATCTTCAACTCAATGCTGAGATTGGGTCACTTCCCGCAAGCTTGGAAACACGCCACAATCACATTACTTCTTAAGCCAAATAAGCCTGCTCAGTCGGTAACATCCTATCGCCCAATCAGTCTCCTTTCTGGATTAGCTAAAACCTTTGAAAAACTTTTTATTAAACGATTATTTGACTTTGAGGATTTCTCTAGAGCCCTTCCCACACATCAATTTGGGTTTCGAAAAGAACATGCCACTGAACAACAGCTAGCAAGAGTAACGCAATTCATTATGGGGGCCTTCGAAGAAAAACAATACTGCTCAGCTGTTTTTATAGATATATCTGAAGCGTTTGATAGAGTATGGCACACCGGTTTGCTATATAAGCTATCAAAACTGGTGTCTCTTCAGGCCTTCAAGCTACTAGAAAGCTACCTAAATGAAAGGACCTTCGAAGTAATTACCAACAATGGTATTACATCGAGAATTGGAAAAATAAAAGCCGGGGTTCCTCAGGGCAGCAATTTAGGTCCACTTCTATACAGCATTTACTCATCTGACGTTCCGCTACCAAACTGCTTGAATGGATATCACCCCACTTCGATACCGGTACTAAGGGAAAAAAACAGAATGTTAGCTACGTATGCAGATGACACAATTATCATGAGCAGAGCGGACTTCCCCTTGACAGCGGCAAAAATGAACGAACAATATTTAAATAAGTTCAGTGTTTGGGCTAAAAAATGGGAAATGGGCATTAACGAAAAGAAAACAGCCCACGTATTTTTCACACTGAATAAACTTAGCAAAACACAGCAAGAAAGTACGCCTAAATTAAATGGACAAAGAATTCCTAACAAATTCAAACAAATGTATCTTGGGGTTACGCTCGATAGGAAACTTAGCCTTAACCACCATGTCAAAGCCATTATAAATAAGACAAGAACTGCGTCAATTAAACTTGATTGGATTATTGGCTGCAAAAGCCGGCTTGCCAAAGAATGCAAAGTGACGATCCTAAAACAATTAATCATGCCAATTTGGTTTTATGCTTTTCCAGTCTGGGGTGCCCTGGCTTCTGACTCATTAGTGAAAAAGATACAAACACTCCAAAACAAACTAGTGAGGAGGGCAGTTAGGGCCACAATATATACAAGAAACGACAATATCAGAAGTGTATACAATATCAAAACTGTCGAGGAGGTTTACGAGAAGGCTAGCGGCCGTCTCGCTAATTCACTTGTGGATCACTCAAACTCCGAAGTGGCCAGACTGCTGACCAACCCCCATGTCCCTAATAGATTGAAATCTAGCCGCCACAGATATGACAATCAACTCCGGAAGTTTATCCTCCCGCGTTGTAATGGACAACGTCAAGAACAACCAAATCCAGATTTGGATCCTACTCGATACTATTCCGAAGCTGAACGCAAAGTTATAGCAGAGAAGTATGTACCCATCCTGAGGAAAGGACTTCCTACTCTGCTGAGGTTAGAAAATGAAGAACAGGAAAGACTGGAAAAGGCTAAAATGGACAATAGAGAGGCCGAACGGAAGAAAAAACCATACAAACACCCGGACAGATTCTGCGAACTACAAATAAACGTGTACAGAAAAATGTATGCTCAAGGGAAATTTACTAGGGAAACAATACTTGAAAGAATCAGGGGCCAACCATTGGGTATACAAAGAATTATAGTGCCAGACCACAGAGGGGATGTAGAGGAAGGCGTCCTCCAGCCGAATGGTTAAGACTTGATCCAATGGTACAGCAAAAATCCAGAAAGTATAAACCTACAAATAAAACTAATTAAAAGCAGCCAAAACATAACTTAAACCACTTACCAAATCACCTCCAAGCAAACCAATCAAAACCTGCAAATAAAATACAATCAAAATCAGCCAAAACAGAAATAAACTCGCTTACCAAATTCAACGCACACCTCCAAATAAACCAATTGAACCTGCAAATAAAATACAATTAAAATCAGTCAAAACACAAATTAATTTACTTACCACGCTAGCATTCAAGCAAACCAATCAATATCTGCAAATAAAATACAATCAAAATCAGCCAAAACAGAAATAAACTCGCTTTCCAAATTCAACGCACACCTCCAAATAAACCAATTGAACCTGCAAATAAAATACAATTAAAATCAGTCAAAACACAAATTAATATACTTACCACGCTAGCTTCCAAACAAACCAATCACAATCTGCAAATAAAATACAATTAAAATCAGCCAAAACAGAAATAAACTCGCTTACCAAATTCAACGCACACCTCCAAACAAACCAATTGAACCTGCAAATAAAATACAATTAAAATCAGTCAAAACACAAATTAATATACTTACCACGCTAGCTTCCAAACAAACCAATCACAATCTGCAAATAAAATACAATTAAAATCAGCCAAAACAGAAATAAACTCGCTTACCAAATTCAACGCACACCTCCAAACAAACCAATTGAACCTGCAAATAAAATACAATTAAAATCAGTCAAAACACAAATTAATTTACTTACCACGCTAGCTTCCAAACGAACCAATCAATATCTGCAAATAAAATACAATCAAAATCAGCCAAAACATAAATAGACTCGCTCACCAAATACAACGCAAACCTCCAAATAAATCAATTGAACCTGCAAATAGAATACATTTAATAATCAGTCAAAACACAAATCAATTCACTTACTACGATAGCCATCAAACAAACCAATCAAAACCTGCAAATAAAATACAATCAAAATCAGCCAAAACAGAAATAGACTCGCTTACCAAATACAACGCAAAACTCCAAATAAACCAAATGAACCTGTAAATAGAATACATTTAATAATCAGCCAAAACACAAATTAATTCACTTACTACGATAGCTTCCAAGCAAGCCAATCAATGGCCTGCAAATAAAATACAAACAAAACATAAACCTGAAAATAAAATAATATTAAAATCAGCCAGGAGTTTCATATTCATCCACAGAAAGAAGCATATGCGTGCGTTCTTCCTAGAGTTGCATCGACTGGATTCGGCCAGGAGGAGAGGGACGAGGCGATGCCGCGCTTGCGATGCCGATGCTTTGGAGGTCTCCCTGTCGTCCATGCCTCCGTTTCGCACCGGATGAGGGGTCCAGGAGCGGCGTTACAAAATTTTTTTACACCTAAGTCAAAAAAAAAAAAAGAAAAAGAAAACACAAGCCAATCTTAACTTGTTTACATATCGATGTTATCGAACTGTATAGTATTTTTCAGTATATTTTATCAATGTTACCGTAATGTCAAAAAAATACCTAAATGTTAAAAAATTTGTAAGTTTCCATAAATAATGTTAAATGTTGCTAATAAGTAATAAGAACACTAATAAAGATTGCGTCAGGTCACACTAAGTGCCCTGAGCAAGTTTGAACATCAAAAGCAAGTTTGAACATCAAAAAAAAAACTGAGCAAGTTTGAACATCAAATGAACATCAAAAAAATCAAAAAGTTTGAACATCAAAAAAATCAAAAAATCAAAAAATATAAATCAAAAAATCAAATAAAATTATATACAAGTAAAGGCCATTAAAAGTATTAAAGAAAAGCAAATAAAAGCAAGGAAAGTAGTGGTACCGAGGAATTGGAAAACTGACTACATGGAAGAAAAAATGGGGGACCAAAGACCAAAGTGCATAAAGGAAGAGAAGGAAGAGAAGGAAGAGAAGAAAATGGAGACCAGCCACCAAACAGACAAGACAACCATTGCTCAACTGGATCTGACAGGTGCGTGCATCACACTTTCTTCCAGCTCTAGCTCGGAGCTTGATGGGTGCTCCCCCCAGAGAACTGGGCTGAGACAGGCACGGGGAGATCCATCTCCTCTCCACGAAATGTCCGTTGATCCATCTTGTTCCTGGGAGTCACTCAATGAGGACGGCACTTTCCCTGAAAAAGTGCCTGATCGGCGAGCCTGCCACCTTCCTGCGGTAGATGTCCAGGGAAACGGCTCCAAAATCAAGCTCCAGAAAACTCTCCAAAATGGAGCACGATATCATCTCTCTCTCTCCACCCGACAGCGACACGGCCAGCAACATGTTGCGGCGAAAGAGCTTACTGACCCGCTTCTCATTAATGTTGCTGATACAGATTATAGACATGTTGCTGTCAATGTTGCTGACGATGTTGCTGACGATGTTGCTGCTGATGATCAAATACATGCAGCCACTAATAAAACCATTGACAATTCATATCTATATATTGACAAAAATAAAAACATTTCTAAACCTAAACCAAACAATTCCAAAAATAAAAATAAGTCTCCTAAAACGAATGTCAAAGCAAAAAAGAGTCTATTAGAATCCCTGACCCCGGCATCCCGTACGAGTATGACTATCACCCAATCCCCTCCTCTGACTGAGCTAGAAAATAGTAACGACATTATAAATAATTGGCTTAGCGATATACCAGCAACCACGCTCCCTAACATGGCTGTCTTCTCAGCCCCCAACTATACCCCGGGAAAAAGGCAAAATAGAGAAATGGACACCACAGACGAGGACCAATCCTTTCATGAATTACCAAAACAAGATCTTGATTTCAACACCCCTAAATTCAAAAGTGACACTGCCAAAAGATTTGCCTCAGAATTCAATAAAATTAAAATTCTTAACCCTACAAAGACAAATCAGCCATTAACACAACCTTCCAATACGAAAGATCTTGACACAGGGGAATTCCAAGACAGTTCTGGGCCAAACAATCCTCAACGACAGCCACTTCCCCCAATTAGCATGCACAGCGAAATGCTCACTGCCAACAATACTGATCAGATTGAGCAGCCTGACCTATTCCCATGGCAGGAAGTGCCAAGGAGTAAGAGGGTACCTTCCATTTACATCTCAGGAGTAAAAACAATAGTACCTCTTTTGGAAAAACTAAACTACACAGCAGGAATAGGTAGATTTACAACCAAAAGTACCCCTGGGAATGGGATCAGAATACAATGTGCTGACATGGATGCCCATAAAAAGATCACCACACTCCTCAACGACCAAAAAGTACCAATGCACACGCATCAGCAGATTGGGCAGCGGGGTGTTCGATATATACTTCGACACTTGCATTACTCAACAACAAGGGAGTGGATTTCCTCTGAGCTTAAAAAAAGGCACTACATCGTGAGATACACCAGCAATATGAAACATAGGTCTACAGGTCAGCCTATAAATATGTTCGAAATTGAAATTGAGCATAAACAGGACGGTTCTCATGATGAAATCTTAAAAATTTCCGAGCTAGGTGGACAGGCAGTGGCTTTTGAGAGGAAATGGGTGACTAGGGACCCGCTTCAGTGTCATAGATGTCAGGCCTACGGACACACTAGGAACTACTGTAAAAACGCACCCAAGTGCATGAAGTGCGCCAGTGACCATCTCTCAACTACATGCACCAAACCCAGATACACTCCTGCTAAATGTGTTAACTGCGGCGGAGAGCATGTCAGTTGTTTTAAGGGTTGCCCGGCCTTCAAAGCTGCCAGAAGCAAGCTCAAAATCGACAAAATTGTCAATATGGACAGGAGCATAGGGAAGGCACTAGGGAGGCCGAGTGTATGGGAGGAGATCTCCAGGCACCCCCAACCAAACAGAGGGGGCCCCACTACTGCAGGTGACCATCGAAAGGATGAGGGCGACTATGTCGAAGGGCGGAAAATTCCAGGGAGGGGTTTCACTAACCCTTTCTCAGGCAGAACAGTCCAACCCAAGCCGAGCCTCCACAGCACTGAAATAAAAAAAAGGCTTTCTAAGATGAGAAACCGAGAAAGGAGCAAGCAAACATCCAGCCATAAGAAGGACAGAATAGGGAAGGGACGGGCTCCAAAAACCGGTGACACGAATGTCAACCCAGCCGCCAGCCACCTAGAGAAATTCCAGAGTAGACTGAGGGAGGAGCAGATGGCGCTCTCGCAGTCTGCAAAAGTAATGACAGAGGGCCCCGCTGAACAGGAGAACAAGCGGTTTGAAGACAGGCTCAATGTAATTGAGCTCAGTATTAAGGACATCATGGCGTCAATTAGCCAAATTCACACTCTACTGCAAAACCCTCCCCCCAAAAATACTGACAATATAAATAACACTACAAACAATTCTGAACATCACAAAACAACAAATATCCTCAATCAAATAGAAAACAAACAATAAAACAACTCATTGCTATACATTATATCTAACTAAACTAGCCAATAATTTACAGACATGAACACAAACAATAATAACGCAAACCATTTCCCACATTCCAATCACCTTCCGCCACAAACTCTTGACACGACCGGGGCAAACCTGCCCAACTCCAACAGGCTTAAAATAGCTTTCTGGAACGCCTGTGGGATCAAAAATAAAATGGCTGAACTTGAAACATTCATGACAAATGGGGACATACAAATTATGATGGTTATTGAAACTAGAACTAAACAGAGCGCCGACCTACTGAAAATACCAAACTATATCTCATACCACACTGCCAATCCTATAAACCACAAAAAAGGGGGGGTCGTGGTATATGTGAAAGAAAATGTTAGACATGCTGCACTGGAACCCATTAGCACCGATTTCCTTCAATGTACCCCAATTGTAATAATCCCAATAAACAACAAGAGGAGAAACATGATCGTGGTTGCACCGACGTACTGCCCACCTAACTTCAATTGGACTGAGAATCATTTCAGATCACTACTCCTGCATTTTGACAACATATTGGGGGGTACCTCCGGGTTCATTTGCTGCGGAGATTGGAATGCTAAGCATCCATGGTGGGGGAACCCCAGATCCTGTAGGAGAGGACGTGCCCTGATGCAAGCTGTGAGCTCTGGAGCCAGATACAACATCCTGGCCACAGGAGGTGCCACCCACTATCCATACGACAGCAGAAAAAGACCCTCAGCCATCGACTTTGCAGTTTGTGGGGGTATTACAGTAAATAGGATGAAAATCCATTCATGTAGCAGTCTGGACTCCGATCACCTGCCAATAACCATCGAAATGTGTACAAATGGGGCCGACACATTCACCCAAAGTTCTACAGGCAGACGACTAATTACAAAGAAAACAAATATTAACAGAGTAAAAGAGCACTTGGAACAGACCATAAACTTAAACACGGAAATTCACTCGGGACTGGATATTGACGACGCAGTAAAAATACTAACTACAAACATACATGACGCGATAAAACTAGCCACTAAAAATGTAAACTCCAATCAAAGATTAAGATCTGGGAATTCAAACAGCCAACGAAGGACGGACAAAGCACGCTATAAACTAGACGATGAAACTAAAGCGCTTCTGCAAATAAAAAACGAACTGAACCTCAGATTTAAAATATTCCACACAGAAGAGGCTAAAACACTGTACAAGGCCGCCCAGAACACCCTCAGGAAAAAATTACAAAAATTAAAAACAAACAACATTAATCAGCAATTTGAAGGTATAAACACGCAAGACAGATACAAAATGGCAAAGCTCTGGAAAGTAACAAATACAATCAAGAGACAGCCACAACCAAACTGGCCCATTTGCACGCAGACGGGGAACTCTAACCAACGACCCGTATGGACCAAGA